CGTAATCTTATCTAATTTCAATTAAGTTTATTTAAATTACATTAACTTTTATATATAGACTCATATCTCATATTTACATTAGATAGGATAGAATACAATAAAGTCTTGTTCGAAAATAACCATTTAAAATGTCTATTAACTAAACCAACACCAATTGGATAATATACAAGGGCGGATCCACGTTTCTAATGTACTGTACTTTAGTTAAAAACAGTTTAATGAACGTTGTAAAATTTGAATCAAGAGAGAAACTTCAAAATGTCGCTAAACAATAAACCTGAATGATTAACTGAAAAGTGGCACATCCAAAAGGAAATAGGAAGACAAGGTAGTCTTGTCTCTATTGATTTAGAGCAAGGTCACTCTGATCGTTAGACTTTTTGCTATTGAAAATGTATGGCTATCTGGCATTACTTAAACAGGAAAATAACATGTATTTTATATTATTACTTTAATCTATTGATTAAAAAACAAGTTATATATAACATAGTTATTTAAGTTTTATATCTAACACTTTTTTGTTTTTAAAAAAATATTTTGGATTATATTTATATGTACTGTTTACAAATTGTATAAATTTTCAATTTATATAATACAGAGTGAAATGTAATCGAAGTGCAAAGCTTTATCCAATTAATCTTTGGAGTTGTTTTGTTTTTGTTTATTAACATATTGATTTAAATTTTAAAATAGTATAGTACATTCATTACAACGAGTTGAAATCTTTACCTGCATATTGACGTATTTTAAAGTCAATTTACCAAACTAATTATAGTGTTTTTGTCATAATTATATGAATTACTGTGTAAGAAGTTTTTAAATCCTGTTGTTTTGCGAAAAATCAAATAGATGAACACAAAACAACGCAACTTCCAGTGTTTCGTTTTCGGTCAGGCAGAAATCTGACCGAAGATTTTCGGAAATTTCCAATAAGTGCCGCAAATTATCTGTATTTATTCTTAGGTAAAATGTTGCTTAGATAAAACGGAAATTATACTAAAACAAAATGATGTAATTTTTAATTTCAGTTATCAGTTCCTGTTTTTTGGTAATGTGAAGTCCAGGTCTTAGATATGTAGTACCAATTAAATTAAGTATTATTTCATAACTGTAACAGCTAGTCGAAAATACTACAATAATTTTAAAAAATATATCGGAAATTCTCACCTTGGATCAGTACCAGGAAGTAACGTTATAATTATTCCAGAATTATCTGTTCCTCCATCTGTATTAAAAATTTATGAACATTTTAAATATAATTCTTTTGTTGAATTTTAAATTTTTAATAAAGGAGTCGAATTATTTACTTATAAATCGAGTAACGTCTGCATAATGAACTTGTAGAACTAAATAATTAATTCCGCTTCCTTTTCCTACTTTGAAGCCCACACCTATAGTAATGCATAAAATACAGAAATGTATTAATATATTATGCAAATTATAGTACTAATGAATACAATAATGTTAGGTGGAAGGAAAAGAATATGTAAAATATAATTGGTTTCCTGTAATCTAAGATTTTAATATTATTGAAAAACAATTTAATAAAAATTGCAAAAAGTCTTACAGTTCCTTTTCGTAACAATCCTCATTAAAATACATTATCTAATATGAAAAATACACTTCGATGAATTACTATACTGGGAGTGAAGAGAATTATATGTTCATACGATAACTCTGTGTTATTTTTTTGAATTCTGTATTCATTAACAATGCTATTTATTAATCTATATAATTTACTGAATTTACTCTGAATTTTAATATTGATTGGTGGGGTGTTATAGCTTTGCGAGGCCCGAGCATAAATCGAATTGGAGGCCCCATGTATGGCATCGACTTTGGATGTTTTTCCTCGGAGAAATTTTTTAGGGGAAAATTTACTTAGAAAAGATGCCCCATAGGATAATGCGCCACTGATGTTAGTTATAGTGAACTGTAATTAATGCCGGTTTATTTTTTGAAAAAAATTGTTATTTTAAAATTATTTTTAAAATCACTGTTTTGTTAATTTAAAAAAAAAAAGTTACTGCTACACTTTATTTTTATGCGTAAAGGTTAATTTGTTCTTTTTGTAGAAAAGCTGCTCTTCCTTAAAAGGCAAACTGGGAAATTGTTTAATACATTGTGTGTGGTTATTTATTTTCCCACGAATAAATCCCGCGGCTATGCAAAGTCACAAATAATGCTCATTCATATATGATTTATGATTTTAAAATGATAATTTGTCTTATAAAATTTGTACATATTTAACTTTTTATAGGGTTTATAATGCTTTTTTTTTTGGGATCAGTTACCCACGTGACCGAAGCAACTTTTAAAAAGTTCGTCGTCATATAACAAATATTAATATATAAAGAAGTTTTTAAAGAAGCCAATTTATTATTTTCTTAACGATATTAATATATTATACGTTAATTAATGATCGATCGTTATGATCGATTTTTGAATGTCTGTCTAATCGAGTTCACAATTTTTTTATTGGGGTCGTCGTCATCGTCGTCAAAAAATCGTGCGACGTCTGAGCCACATTGTTTAATATTAAGAGAGAAACGTCGATAAAGTTCGTTAAAATTGATACGATTTCAGCTACTTCCATAATTTTCGTTAAACTACTTCATGCGAATAGTTTTATATTTCGACTTCTCGCATGTTGCCTTTGTCACGGCACTGATTACTTTGTAGCATGCGATTGCAATGACCAATTAAATGCGAGATAATTGTACGAGTGACGAATCTAATATCATGTTATGAGGAAAACTGAGCAAAGCTAACAGATTTTGTAGTTAGCGTGGCGCGTCGCGGTTTGTTCAAGGATGCGACGCGCTGATTTCCGTCTTGCGCGAATTATTTCCATTATATATGACACTTATTCGATTTTGGTTGGAAATAATTATATTAATGAAGAAGCGTGTCTCGTTAATAAAAGGAAGAAATAAAAAAAGTCGAATTGAACGCATTTTATATTTATCGCTGCGTGTCGCGTCGGTCTCTTAAGAAATTATTAAAAAATTATTTTATTTATATGATGACGTCATAATTAAATAGATAAATATTTTATGGGGAAAAAATATGTATATGTATAATATGTGTGTGTTGTATTCAGTATATTTAAAATACTTGTATAGACGTAATTAGTTAATTTAAAGTTATTTTTTAAAATATTAAAATGCAACAAAGCGCCATTAACGGAAAAACGAAGCATTTCAAAAAATAAAAATAAAATTAAAAAAATCGATTGCATCAATTTTATTTATTAAAATTATTTACATTTAATACCCGTCGGAGATAAAATGAAATTAATTTAGTGCAAAAATAGATAATTTTAAACCTATCTCTCAATGCAGATAAAAATAAATCGCCATTCACGTTTCTCACCCTATTACATAACGAAGGTCGTAGGTCATAACCTCGTTCACGTGACTCTTTTATTTTTACATAATACATAATTAAAAAATTACTCACAAAATCGTGATTAATATTACATAAAAAAACCACACTCAAAATAATACCAGTTAATCAGTTACGTAAAATTATTAATAAAATTTTAGAATCCGTCCACCTGCTGTGGTGTACGTGCGTGTCCTGAATGTCACGTGCGATCGACTAAACAAACGCAGACTACTATATATATAAATATAACAGTTAATTTGTTATAAAAATAGAAAAGTTCCTTTATAAGGCATTTTGTAACAGGATTTAAGTTTTCTGAGATATAATTAGAGCTGATGATAATTGAGAATGTTTATCTGTCTATCCATTTCATCAATTATATATGGATACATTCTTACAATTATATTTTCTGAACAAATGTTATCTCTCTGATGTCTGTATTCAGAACCAAGGATAAGAGTTAGAGTTAGAAAATGATACGTGTTCACATACTAAAAGTAAAGTGAATGGTAATTGGTTAACTTCTAGTTCTTGATCCTTGGTTGTGAATACAGTTGTAAGAAATAAAGATATATACAATAATTTCCTAGAAAAAATATATATATATATTTTTTTTTCCTCNTAAATTCACAGCCATATACAATTGTCTGAATCTAATGCTTTTCTGAAAATGATTTGAGTATCAAGAAATATTTTCCATAATTTTTACAAGAAAAACATTAAATCATTCCCAACCCATCCAAATACCGTTATATACAGAGAAAAATTTTTTACAATACTGTTACTCCAAACTTTAATTGGTTTTCCCAAATTACACTAAAATATTGCAAATGAACCTGTTTATATATTAATCCATGATTTTAGCATGATATTAAATATTACAAACTCTACTTGCCATACTAAACAATCATTGTTGAATATATTTGTAAGTAATAATACAATAAATAAGTTTGTATAGTTTTTCTATTAGGATTTATACCTATGTATAGGAACATGCAGTCTACAGCAATGAAAGAGCTGTAATAATACTGTACATTTTATAATAAAATATTACTGTATAGATTAGAACAATGAAAATAAACTAGTGAATGCACTGTAACAAAACAGAGATTGGATTGAAATTTTGTGATAAAAGTCACTAAGTTGCACAATTTTGGTAAAATGCAGACATAACACTACTGAAACAAATGAAAACAGATGCTAGAAAGGCATTACCCGTATTTCCACTTTTTACTAAGGTAACATGCAAATTTTTCACAAATGTACTTTGAACAGATTTGTAATACTGGGATTATTTAATTCATGTGGTATATTGATATAAAGAATATTACTCATTATGGTGAGAATTTGGGCACTGGCAATTGTATATTAGAATTTAAAATAATTTTCTGTTTGTTTATAAAAAAATTTTTTTGTTGCTAAAAATTATCAAAATTTGCTTGGTTTAAAATTGGGTTAATTAAATGATTTAGTGATTACAAAACTTTAACTAAAAATGTTTTGATATTTAATTAGTTCTGAGGTTTTAAATTGGTTTATATATTTTTTGTTGTTAGGAAACACATTAGCTTTTTTATTATTGGGTATAAAGTTTATAATTTTGTTAACAGATTGCAGAAAGAATCCGTCATCTAATTGATAATCATCTTGATCCGATTCCAACAATTTTGGAAATACCATCTAAAGATCATCCATACGATCCAACTAAAGATTCAATTTTACGTCGAGCCAAAGTGAGTAATTTATGTATAAATCAATTAAGTAAATTTGATATAAAATAAGTTTTTAGTTAACATAAAATACAAAACTTAATATTTTAAATTTTAAATCTTATTAAGAATCTGTTTAACTAGTTGTGTCCAAAAACAAATTATGGTGATAATGTATGTAATTTAGCTAAAATATAAACATTGCAAACTATAAATTTATATAGCATAAAGTTATAATTTATAAATGAATATTCTTTCTAATTTATACATTGTATCAATTAGATCAGGGGTGTCCAGCCCGCGGGCCGCATGCGGCCCAATAAATGTGTAAACAAAACTGACAAATGATTTAATTTATTATTAATTTATTTATTTCAACGGCATAAACTCAAAAAAAGTTTCACAAAGCCATAAACCTTTATTCATATTTTATTTTTGAGTAGAAAGAAAATATTTTCAAATACTTGGAGATGTGTGAATGCGGAAGGATTACTAAATAAAGCTGGAGTTGTGACTCAAAGGATTATAGACCCAAATTTGAGAAAAGGAGGAAAGATGAGAAAGGACAAAAGATGTAGTAGTGAGAAACGTTAAATAGATCTTCTGTTAAGCAAATATGGATCCGTAATTTTTCAACCTTTTTCACTTCTTTATCTTTTGTCCTTTACCTCTTTTTCCCTGCACTTGGGTCTATAATCCTTTGTTTCACAACTCCAGCTTTATTTAGTATTTCTTCCAACGTTGCAAGATTTGGCTACATTGGGCCAAATGTGGCTACTTTTTTTTTGCTTGACATAAAAAATATCATTTGGTGCTTTGATTACTTTTTCGGCCAGATATTATTTATAATTATATTAATTGAATAAAAATGCACTTCAAAATGGTGTTTCATCACTTTTTATTAATTAGAGACCCAAATAAAACAAATATTTGTGTTTTTCAAATAAATTTTCTTTAGTCTCTTTTATAATAAATGAATTTATCTATTTCTAAGTAAAAATTGGAAGTGTCTGTAGAAGTAATTTTTTAAAATATCCTTTTTTCTTGATAAAGTTTTAATACTTATTATTATAATCTAGACAAGTATATTTAAAAATTAATATGTATATTGGGCCACAACTATATATTATATATATCCTAATTTATATATAAT